AAGGGGCCCGCCTTAAGGCCCTTGGTTGGGTCTAGGGGCAGAGCCCTCGGAAGCTCAGGGGTTTTAGGTGTTTAATTACCGTCAGATAAGCATTCAGGGGCCCGCCTTAGGGCCCTTGGTTTGGTTCAGGGGCAGAGCCCCCGGAGGCTCAGGGGTTTTAGGCGTTTTATTACGGTCAGGTTAGCAATGTTTGATACCTTATTATTTTGTGACATTTGCAGGACACTATTTGGCTTGGGGTAAAGGGGGCGAAGCCCCAAGAATTCCAGGGGTTTTAGGCATTAAATTACCGTCAGATGAGCATTTAAGGGCCGACCTTTGGGCCCTAGGTGGAATCCAGAGGGTAGAGACCCCGAAAGTTCGGGGGGTTTAGGCATTTAATCACGGTCAGATGAGCATATTTTGATACCTCATTTTTTTCTGTGACACTGGCAGTTCACTATTCTTTATTTCTTGCTCTCTTTAATATACTTTTTCAAAAAAGAGGGGGAGGGCGAGGGAGCTCGAGGCTCCCGATCCCGACCGTTCCGCGGGCCCCGACATGTAGGCATCTCAATAAGCATATTTTTCTTGCCTGACTGTAAATTTCGGAATATGTCATTTTCCAACAAACGCATAAAAAAGTATAATTTAATAAAAAGTGAGGAACAATCTCGGAAAATGATGTCATTTTAGCAACATTTTGTAAGTCACCGTTATGGAATTAGAAATAACCCCCCCCCCCCCCCGAACTACAACTTATTGGCAGGAAAACTGATATCCTCCTTCTTTTCTTTTCTTCTTCCTCTTTTATTTCCCTTCCCTTTATCTCCTCTTTTCCTTTCTTCCCTTCCCTTTCCTTCCTTCGCTCATATATTTTTTTTATTGGGGGGGGGGGGGCGGGGAGGCAACAGCCTGGAAGGCAAGGCCATTTCGGTCCCCCCAATCTCCTTCTTCCCCCTTTTCTTGTCTTCTTCCTCTTCTTTCTTTCCCTTTCTCTCCTCTTTCCCTGTCCTTCTTTTCCTTTTCTCTCTCTCTCTCTCTCTCTCTCTCTCTATTTTTGCGGGGGGGGGGGGGCGCTGCCCCCCTGGAACCGCGCCTGTGTTATAGAGCAACTTAACAATATAGGAATCTTCCGTTCTCCTAAATAATCCAACCCCGGGTCTTTGCAGACACACAAAACGTAAAATTTGGAGCATGGTTTAATGGTGTTGGCACCAAGTTTAATGGTGTACAGGTAAGTTAGTTTGAGACTATAGCTTTTATATATATATATATATTATTAATGAGGTATATCTCTAATTAAATTGAACTGAGTGATGTTATGGAACAACTTTACAATATCTATCATCCGTTCTCCTACACAATCCAGCCCCGGGTCTTTATAGGGCATACAAAATGTATTACTAAATTTGGAGCATGGTTTAACGGTGTTGGCACCAAGATTAGTGGCGATGGTTCGTCCGAGACTCATACAGCCTTTATACTGTTTTATTAATGAGATAGATCTCGAATCAAATCAAACTGAGTGATGTTATGAAACAACTTAACAATATCAATCTTCCATTCTCCTAAATAATCCAACCCCGGGTCTAATAGGGCACACAACATGTATTACTAAATTTGGAGCATAGATTAACGGTGTTGGCACCAAGATTAGTGGCGATGGTTCGTCCGAGACTCATACAGCCTTTATACTGTTTTATTAATGAGATATCTCGAATCAAATCAAACTGAATGATGTTATGGAACAACTTAACAATATCAATCTTCCGTTCTCCCAGATAATTCAACCCCGGGTCTTTCATAGGGCACACAAAATGTATTACTAAATTTGGAGCATAGATTAACGGTGTTGGCACCAAGATTAGTGGCGATGGTTCGTCCGAGACTCATACAGCCTTTATACTGTTTTATTAATGAGATATATCTCGAATCAAATGAAACTGAATGATGTTATGGAACAACTTAACAATATCAATCTTCCGTTCTCCCAGATAATTCAACCCCGGGTCTTTCATAGGGCACACAAAATGTATTACTAAATTTGGAGCATAGATTAACGGTGTTGGCACCAAGATTAGTGGCGATGGTTCGTCCGAGACTCATACAGCCTTTATACTGTTTTATTAATGAGATATATCTCGAATCAAATCAAACTGAGTGATGTTATGAAACAACAATATCAATCTTCCATTCTCCTAAATAATCCAACCCCGGGTCATTATAGGGCACACAAAATGTATTACTAAATTTGGAGCATAGATTAACGGTGTTGGCACCAAGATTAGTGGCGATGGTTCGTTCGAGACTCATACAGCCTTTATACTGTTTTATTAATGAGATATATCTCGAATCAAATCAAACTGAGAGATGTTATGAAACAACTTAACAATATCAATCTTCTGTTCTCCTAAAGAATCCAACCCTGCATGGGTCTTTAGCATATAGGGCACAAAAAAGGTAGTACTAAATTTGGAGCATAGTTTAACGGTGTTGGCACCAAGATTAGTGGCGATCGTTCTTGGAGACTCATAGAGCCTTTATACTGTTTTATTAATGAAATATATCTCGAATCAAATCAAACTGAGAGATGTTATGAAACAACTTAACAATATCAATCTTCTGTTCTCCTAAATAATCCAACCCCGGGTCATTATATAGGGCACACAAAATGTATTACTAAATTTGGAGCATAGATTAACGGTGTTGGCACCAAGATTAGTGGCGATGGTTCGTTCGAGACTCATACAGCCTTTATACTGTTTTATTAATGAGATATCTCGAATCAAATCAAACTGAGTGATGTTATGAAACAACTTAACAATATCAATCTTCTGTTCTCCTAAATAATCCAACCCCGGGTCATTATAGGGCACACAAAATGTATTACTAAATTTGGAGCATAGTTTAACGGTGTTGGCACCAAGATTAGTGGCGATATGGTTCGTTCGAGACTCATACAGCCTTTATACTGTTTTATTAATGAGATATATCTCGAATCAAATCACACTGAGTGATGTTATTTAACAACTAAACAATAGGCCTACTAAATGTCCATTATCCTAAATAAACTATCATTACAAAACTAGCTAGATTAGGGAGTGTATAGCCGCTCCGAGGAACGTTTGCTATTTTCAATTCCCTGCTTGTACTTGGCTTCACGGAGTAATTCGTCCTTTATAATGATTCTCTTCATTCCGGAGCAATGTACATGACCTAATGCTTACGAACGTACTCATGTACTGAATACATGACGCACGCCGCACGTCTGTGACGTAGGGAATAATGAATATTCATATCGCCGTTAATCTTGGTGCCAATATATGCTACCGGGATCCTCGACGGGCGGCGAGTGCCGGTGTGACCGCGCCGTTAGTCCATACCAGTTTCGTTTGTCCGTCAGACATAATATGCGGTTTGCCATCCGCACAGTCTGTCCTCACATTGTTTTACGCGTATATTTGATAAAAGGAAGCAACTCGGCAAATCAGTGTATCATTGTAAATCATGTGGTTCACATTTTGTCTAGAAATGACATAATGATATCTCTCTACAATAAGCAAATGGACCAGTCCTTTTAAAATGAGAAGTGAATATTTTCTTTAAAACCGTCATTCTACGAAGACATACTCGTGATATTGGCCCCGTAACTGCTGTAATCGATTATACGTTTGTACGTGGCATGTTACTTCAACCAACTCACTAATAGTATATATACTTGTGATGATCCAGGCCCCGCGCAATGGCGTAGCATGTTCTACACGGTGGTGGAAATCTACATGTACATTGGCGAAAATCATCCAATAACGATGGAAACGCCATTAATCTCAACAACAACAACAGGTGGTGGGGCTTCTTTTACCGAAGTATTTGGGGGCGCTTCGAGGTTTAAAGGAGTTATTAGAGCTAGAGCGTAGCACAAATTGGCGGGGGTTAAGGGGCGGAGCCTCCGGATGCTTAGGGGGTAAGGGCCTTTAATTACAATCAGATGAGCATGTTATAATACCTTATTCATGACACTGGCAGGTCACTAATTGGCGTATGGTCCAGGGGCGGAGCCCCGGAAGCTCAGGGGTATGGGCATTTAATTACGGTCACATGAGCACATTTTGTTACCTCAATATTTTGTGACACTGGCAGGTCACTATTTTTTCTCTCTTTCCCTATTTCTTTCTATTTAATTCTCTTTAATATACTTTTTCAAAAGTGTGTGTGTGTGGGGGGGGGGAGGGGGGGGGGGGGGACGTCACATGGCTCCGAATATTTGTAGAAAACATATTGTAATAGGTACGTGACCCATCATCCCGGGACCCAGCCCATAATTATTTTTTAAATCCACGGGGACGATTTTTAATTTTGAAATCGCCTCCGTGAGCAACCTGACGGAGGCGATTATGTAGCTCACAGGGGCGAATCGCCCACCGCCCCATGTATTTTGAGCCTTGATAAGAATTGTATTCACCAGTCAAGTATTGCTATTTATACTTTTTATCCCGAGAGCTATTGGGCGTCAAAGAGTGACAATTCTACAAATTCTGAACATTCTACAAATTCTACATAATTTTTTGAAAACCAAAATGACTGTGATCCTATGAAATCAGACAATAATAGATGTATGTGGACCAATATAGTAAACATTTTGGGCTAGTTAATTTCCATTATTAGCGATTCTGTCTTTGTAAAGTTTTATGAATAACTGTTTTGAATTTGTGATTTGTTGCATTTTAAAATTTTCTCGATAGATGAGAAAAGAAGAGAAGATGCATACAGGAGAGATGCAGATTATAGGCCTATAGAATGTAGAGAGAAAAGGAAAGGAAGAGAGAGAGAGAGAGAGAGAGAGAGAGGAGGAGGGAGTGAGATTACATATTGCAATGAAATCTGGGGATAGATAATTGTGCGAGATCAAGTAACAGCAAAAGTTAGAAATCCTGCAACAATCTTGAACTAAAATATTGTAAGGAACAAGAGAGAGAGAGAGAGAGAGAGAGAGAGAGAAAGTGAAGGAGAGTTAGAGTGTAATGCCTAGTTGACACTTTCACGATTTTTGGTCCCGCACTGCCCCGCATTGAATGCGTGCCAGTGCGTGACAGTGCGTGCCACTTCAGTGACACGCACTGTCACGCATAGTTCCCGCATTGTTCACGCATAGTTCACGAATAGTTCACGCATAGTTCACGCATAGTTCACGACTATTCACAACTAGTTTGCGCATTGTGTTAACTATCACAAAAAACAAGGCAGACGTCTATTCGCTCTCGTGTTTTTCATTAATTCAGCATAACTATCGTCATTAAGATGTTGAATTCTGAAGAAGCTAATTTAGAACAGAGAAGGTGTTTATATGTAGCTGCAGGAGCATTAATAGTTTATCAACAAGAAAGAGATCTTGAAGAAAGACGAGAAGAGGAGAAAAAAGGAAAAAGAAAAAGGAGGACATTGTGGGTGAGAGATTGGCTGTCAAGACGCCACATCCACGGACATTTTGATCATTTACTGGCAGAGCTGCATAGGGAGGATCAAAAGAGCTATAAGAATTTCTTGAGAATCACTCCTGATCTGTTTGAGGAAATGGTTGGAAAGCTAACGCCTCATCTGGAGAAGAAAACAACGTTTATGCGAGAACCACTAGAAGTTGGACTGAAACTAGCCGTCACTCTCCGTTTCTTGGCAACAGGAAATTCTTATGCTACATTACAGTACAGCTTTCGAGTTGAGAAAAGCACCATATCGAGATTTATTCCCGAAGTATGTAATGCACTCATTGAAGTGTATAAAAAGGAAGTACTCAGCTGTCCAAAAACTGAAGATGGGTGGAAGGATGTGGCCAAGAAGTTCAGTTCCAGATGGAACTATCATAATTGCCTTGGTGCCGTCGATGGCAAACACGTGGCAATCAGGAAGCCGCCAAAGTCTGGGTCCTTGTACTTTAACTATAAAGGTTTCCATAGTATTGTTCTCATGGCTGTAGCAGATGCAGAATATAAGTTTCTGTATGTGGATGTTGGAGCAGAGGGTGGCTCTTCAGATGGTGGAACTTGGAAAAACTGCAACTTGTATGATGCCATAGAAGGGGAAAGAGCAGGGGTGCCGCCACCGGAACCAATGCCCAATGATGACATGCCCATACCTTTCCAATTTGTGGCTGACGATGCATTTGCTATGAAGCCCTGGCTAATGAAGCCCTTCTCACATAGGTCCCAAGTTCATGAGGAGATCATCTTCAGTTATAGACTAAGCCGAGCTAGGCGAGTAGTGGAAAACTCGTTTGGTATTTTGGCTCACAGGTAGGTCTCCCTTTCTTTCTGTATTCATTTCCATTCTCAGTGCCTATTGCTTTAAAAGTTCAAGCACATTGAATAAAAATATTTAACTTCCCCCCAGAAAGGAGTTGTTATCATAATAACCCACTTTGTTTAAACCAGCATAACGTAGAATTTTTATATGGTGTTTATTTTATCAACACATGTTGCTATTTCTGCAGCTTACGCACAAAATACCATGCGAGACTGCAATTGCTAACAAATCTGAAATGATACACTAAGCAGATGCTCTCATTTTGTTTGTATTTATTATAGTGATCTTTTTCTTTAGTATTCAGTATATCTAGTTTCTCCAAATAACAAGTACAATATTTTGTTTTTACTCCAAATGAAGCGTGATTATTTTAAAATCAAGATTCATATGTACAGATCGTAAAAAATATATATATATATTTCATATTGATGGGCTCTTGTTTTATGGTATTACTTGATTTAGGTTCAGATGTTTCCTAACTACACTTCCGCAGAAGCCCCAAACTACCAACTTAATCATCATGAGTGCCTGCGTCCTACATAATCTGATATTAACCAGGTACCCACTGGCATCAGGAGATGTAGACCATGAAGATCCATCTACGCATGCGATGATACCTGGTGCATGGAGAGACGACCCTGTGTTTCACGGTCTGAGAGCTCCGACAGGAAACACTTCTATCAAGGAAGCTAAGAGCCAACGTGCATATCTATCACATTATTACACCTCCCGCGCTGGAGCAGTTTCCTGGCAAGAAAAGATGATAACCTAAGCAGATTAACTATGACATTATTGTGATGCAGTATAGCACTAGCTCAATTCCACAAAAAATGCCAAATGACACTGACACAAATGACATTTTATTTCTTGAATGGTTATGTATTTCAACAAGGCCCGACATCGTTCCAATATCAACCGTCTGTTGTACATCTGATTTTAAACTTAGGATATGAGATCAGTGTTTATAATGTGTTTGTCTTTATGTACACAAAAATTCTACAGTGTATCAGCAATTAATGTTGTCAGGAAATTAAGGGGTTTTGGTAAGCTTTGTTGTTGAACTTAAACGTGATGCAGTTGGTGTCGGGGCATAGAAATTTCGTATTTCTAGTAAGCTTGCACAAACCCCACTCCTCACACGCACGCATACACACACACACACACACACACACATACACACGAACGCACATTTAAAGACTGGGTCCGCACCAGAAAAAAATCTTGTATTGATTAAAAGCAGATAAATCAGACGAAAAACAAAACAATTAAAACAAAACCAAAAACGTTGAAGTAAATCGGACAATAAATAAGAAAGTTATGAATATAACGCAAAAGTTATTTATCATGCTAACTGGCAACGCTGGGTCACGTGGCATGAAGTATGCCATGCACTTCTCTGCAGGTATTTTATTATATCTCATTGTTTTTAAATCCCCCTTTGCAACCCTTTAACGCAAGAAGAACAGTTTTTTTTTTTGGGGGGGGGGGGTCGATATAAACACGGGTACAGATACATTTATTGATTCAACCTTTAGAATGTTTTGAAAAATAACCACTCATGGATTAAAACGGATTCTTACAAACAAAAAGTTATAATAAGCTATAGCAGACAGGAAGTGCATGACATACGTCATGACACGTGACCAAGAGTCACGTGTTAAGGCTGTGTCACACCTTTGCGTTTTTAGCCTGCGTCGGCCCAGCGTTTTTGAAAATTAAAAACGCTTCCTGAACGCGGATCAGACGGTAGACTGACGTTGGAGACGTTCAGCTTGCGCTTTATTAATGAATTATTGTATCCATTCATCAATCATATTTTACACAAAACATCTGTGAGAGATAGGAAAAACTGGGAAATTGAATATCATTTATTGATACGATCATGCTTTTACATCGTTTAAGAAGATGCTATTAACATATGTATATATGTAATAGTCAAACAGTTGACGGTGTTATCTCGTATGAATAGGTGCACTTGAACGAATTGTGCGGAAACTTAACAATCATTTTTGAAATCCAATGAAAAATATCAAGTGCTTATAGTTACCCATTTTATTAAAGGCCTTGATATTCACCTATCTTTGCAGTCTTTGATTAGCCTTTGATTTGTCAATATGTTACTCTTAATATAAACAACTTTACATGTTTTGTTTTTTGTGTGTAATAAGAGACTTGTAATCAGAAGCAATCAGAATGCACGAATTGCGTGTTTTTTAATAAAAGAAACATAACCGAGTAGAAAACTTAGGCATTCTGGATATGCTCACATAAATGCAATTTAAATAACGTGTGATGAAGAAAAGAAAATAAGTCTGCAGGATAACGTTTAGTTTCATGGTGACTGACAACTGAATCTCCAATTTGAACTACCTTATAGACATGTTATAATTACCAAGATTTCTCAATGATATTTTGAACACTTTAAAGTTGTAACAAGTGAGTAACATGAACTAATCAACTACTAGAACAAATGTAAAAACGTAGGAACCAAAAAATCTTCCACTCAGTAAACCTTTCATTTTGTTTCTTGATAAAATCATCATGCATGAGTATATGTCAAAATGTCTAAATCGAGAATATCCATCGAAGCTCTCCCTGGAACTCAGAACATTCAAAAATCTGGAATATATTTTCCGACTTTGATCAAACTGTCACATTTTACCCTTGCTCTTCAGTGTGTAGTTCTGGTTTACGTTTCAGAAAATATTATACCTCTGTTCCAAATGTATAAATAAATGGTTTTCTTGCCGAGTGGGTTTTTAATAAAATTCCTTGCAAAGGCAACAACAAATAACAATTTCTTTTTTACTTTTATTTTTTTTTACCATGTAAGAATTAAGGTAAGTACTGAAAGAGTGTCCCGATATGGAAGACGTTAGTTTTGCAACCAGTATTGCCTTTTCTTAATCACCGGCTGCTGTTGAACACATTATTTTTCTTCTCCAAGCTCTTCCAGAACCGAGGAAACCATCTCATTACTACGTCGGGAGGGTGGGGTCGAAGCAGTGGACTGCTGAGAAGACGTTGGTATCGGTACAGGCACAGCTGAAGGCGCGGCTGGCATCCCAACATTGTTGAAGGATGGACTTGCTGGAGACCATTGATTGAAATTGGACCAATGACTATTGATTGGCCACTGGTTTGACTGCCATGACGAGGGTTGCTGTTGACATGGTTGAGTTGGCCTGGTTGGCTGTTTGAAATTGTGAACGAGTTGCAGACATTCGATTTGGAAACTGTGCCACGATTCCTCTGGAATTTTCTGCATATGGCCCTCCAGAAGACAGGCAAAATCATGGACGATCTTTTTTTGACCTGTCAAAGCAGCTGTCTGGCCCAAATTATCCGCTCTTGAAAGAACCTGAAAGGCATAAACAATATAACCAAATGTAATTTAGTAAGGCAATTAAAGTCAGGGTCTGATTACTGTCATTTACTGCCATATACTCAACAAATTTAGATCGATTGTCGAAGAATTAATTTTCAATGATACTTTTTGTTGTGAATTAATTTCTATAGTTTCCAAATGGAACTATTGAAAGCGGATCCGGCTTAGGTAATGTATTCAATTGTTTAAAAAAAAAAATTAAAAAAAAAAAGTTCTATAATGCCTACCTGACGGAGAGCATCGTCGAGGTTATTCTGCAAAACAGTACTTGATCGAGAAGCTGGAGTTCTACTGCCAGAAGTTCCAGAGGCTTCGGAGCGTGCCGACTTTGGGACCCGATCCTTCAACGGGATCAAGGTCTCATTATCCATATCTTCTGAAACTGACATGATAGAAACTTCATCATCTTCTCGTTCGTGCACTTCCCCTTCTCTATCAAACTGCAAGGTGAAGAAACATCAAAATGAAAATTATGAAAAGGGTTCTGAAGGTTATTTCAAGGTTATTCTAATATTTCAATATAAAAATTGTGAATTGGTCATTTATATACCTACCGTGTCACTTGACGTTGTCTTGCCACGAACAATGTGTTGCTTCAGAAATCCCCACGTGTTCACTATCTCATCATCACGTGTCGTTCTGTTGGTTTGCCCAGATCCACTTTTTTTCTCCTTGTTCAATATCTTTCCTAGCCGAGTTCGCTTATTTTCGTACAACTTCTTACACTGGTCCCCTACATTAAAAACAAGGAAAACAATAAATAGGCTATTTGTGTGGTGAAGTTTAACCCTAAAAATAAAAAATAAAAACATTTAATTTCTATAAAGGAAAATATCAACAATTATTTTCCCAGTAAATTACTTTCTTATTAACTAGTAATGCAGACAACAAAAAACAAAAGGAGGATTTTTAAAACATGGGTATGGAACTTAACTAACCAACCATCAAAATTGAGAACTTACCAGTGGCAGGTGGATCCAATAATTTACCGCCATTCGCCCACATCCTTCCCTTCGTAGCAACATTCATGTAATCTTTCTGGGTCTTATCATATAGTGCTGAATTTTCCTTCACAAAATCGGCTATTAATTGAACAGCGTCTTCGGTCCACTTGTACTCTGGGACATCCCTTTTAGATGTACGTGCTCTTTTTGTTCGCTTAGTTTTCTCTTCATGCTCTGTGTTCTCTGTCCCATCATTATCTGATGAGGAGGATGAAGCCATGATTTTGCTGCTGGCTCAAACAAGAATATTTTGACAAAACGCATCACGTGACTGATATGCGCGATCCTTGCGTGAAAGTGCGCGAAGGATGCGCAACCACTGCGCAAATTATGCGGGACCATGTCGTGAACTAGTCGTGAAGTGCGTGCCACATTCCCGGGGGTGGGGTACCCACTGTTTTTACGCCACGCACTGGCACGCATTGGCACGACTTGTTTGCGCATAGTTTGCGCACAGTTCACGCACTGCTGCAATGCGGGAAGTGCGTGGCAAAATTTTCAACATGTTGAAATTTTTTTTCGCTCTTCACGCATTGCCGCGCATTGCCGCGCATCGTCCCGCCCCTTCCCGCAAGTGTCCACGCATTGGCACGCATGATGCAATTTCAGTGCGTGAACTATGCGGGAACCGAAAATCGTGAAAGTGTCAACTAGGCATAAGAAATTTAAGAGATTGAAGGATATCAATAAAATTATCTCAATAATCTTTCCTCACACCATAAGCAATGTTAAGTATGTAGTCTTTTGAGGATTACTAAAAATGGCACCAACATACTTAAAACAAGATTTACACCATGTTAGTTCACTACATGATCACAATACAAGACATGCTGTAAGGGATGCATTGTGTGTACCCAAATTTAGGACGGACACTTATAAAAATAGTCCTCTAATTTCTGGAATTAGAGTATGGAACCAACTTAAAAGTCCTGTCAAAATGTCACCATAGTACTTTGAACAGTTTTAAACACGCTCTAAAAGCCCTGTTATCTGTAGATGAAGTGTAAGTGAACATTTGGAGTTTTCGTGCGAAGCAAAATTATGAAATTTGGTTGACATGGTTATCGTTATATCATGTATTCATACATGTAATGTATCCATTTTCAGCTATCTTGTAAACAACCTAAGTGTATTAGTTAAAGAGCAATTTAATGTAAATATGTATATAACAATTTTGGTATCCCGTGCTATATCAGATTATTAAATGAAAGTTTAAAAAAACTAAAAAAATTGAAAATTCCATTCACCTATTTCTTGTAAATGATCAAGGATGATTCTTGTATGAACAGTTATTCATTTTCATGGGGATACCAATAATATTAATTTGTATTTGTTATATGCTTGTGTATTTATCTATTTTGTTTTTGATGCTGTTATTTGTTTTATTATTACCAAACAGGGCCTCATGGAAGACCACCAAATTGGTGATATGTGCTACCCTGTATAAATATCAGAAATAAATAAATAAATAAATAAATAAAAGAAACTAAGAAATGTCTTGATTTTGAAAAATTAGAAACTGGTAAATAGACTAGACTACACTGAATGACGTCATGTTACAGATGACAAAATGGCTTCTACAGGAGAACTTACACTCGACAGAGGTAAATATACTATACATTTGTAATTACAAATATCTCTTGGATGTCGCCAATATTTAAGTATTTTGTGCATTATTATATAAATATGGTATCTTCTAATCGTTATCAAGTAAGAATTTCCGAGTGGTGATGTGAGGAAGTGTGAAAATTAGAGTGTTTTTATCCGCTCTGCAGATTACGCCCATCTTCATACGCGACTAGCTGTTGTTTACAGGAAGAAGGGTCGCTTGAACGTTTATTGACGGGGGATGGCCGGGCGGGCGGAGAGGGCAGGGAGGGCATGGCTAAGCTTAGGGTTGGCCCGGCGGACGTGGACCGGGCAAAATTGGTGGGTTGATGACTGGAAACTCTCACAAATTTTGAACTTTCAAACCTTTTTAATCGAATTTTCAGCAAAATAAAAATGAGCTTCAACTTGTAATGTTATATTGACAATCTAGATTGCCAATACTATAGATAGGGTGTCTGATCGCGCACCCGATGTTGTGTGCTAAAATTCTTCCCATAGAGATTACACGCATCCCTATGCAGTCTACGTGCATTGCGCGACCATGCAAAAAAAGTCAATTTTTTTTTTCAATTCGAGATTCAAACCTTTATCTGTTGTGATCCTGAAGGTGATAATCAATAAATGAGGTGTCATATGAAAGAGCAGGTAAATTCCAATATTTCTAAAGGGGCGTAGCCCCCGAAATTCTAAAAATATCTTGGTCAAAACAGCAATTGAAACATTGTGTCCTGGCTAACTCTGAGGTTTGTCACTTTTGAGATATGACGCCCCGATCGATAAGTAGTCCCAGTCCTAAGGAACAATTCTATGTGCTTGTATTTTCGCTAGCCCCCAGGGATCACAACTGATAACAGTTTAAAAATACCCTTCTCGCTATTTGGTGGATCAGCTAATGAGGGGGCGTGCGCTCCGCTCAGTCCAAACCATGGTTACATCGCGTAACATCTCCGCGCACGAACGAAACCCCAAATTCAAGTATGGGTGGCCATTCGCGGCATAGAACCCGGAAGTGAATACACGTTATAGTCAATGGCAATATCGCGGAGACATCTCCGCGATATTGCCATTGACTATAACGTGCATTCACTTCCGGGTTTATTGTGCGACGAACGCCAACCATACTAGTCAATGGCACATGTCGCGGAGACAGCGTAGCTCAAGCTGCAAGTCGCGGATTGGCTTAGCAGCATGCGTACGATATGCATACGCTTGCATATCGCGCGATACAGCTGTTTGGCTAAATTTAGCAAAACAACATCACTCTGCGTAGACGTCTTTTTCGTCGATTTTGACCAAAATGATATGAATATACCAGCGTTTTGGAGGGGCTGTAACTTTTGATAGAAACATCGGTGAGACTTGAAATTTGAAATGTATTATTCTGATAACATCTTTTATTCAAATATCAAACAAAAATGGTGAAAAACGATCCCAAATTGAAAATTGAAAAATCGTTCAGACACCCTACTATAGAGTAAAGGAGCCGGTAATCGGCCAGCTCCAGTTTTCGGCCGATTGGTTGGACGCAAGGTAAAATCACTCTAAAATACATCGCATAATAGCATAACACATATCCCACACATACCATACCATGCCAGTGTCACTGAAGAACCACATTTGCAATGGAAAATATATCCTAAAATATCACATTTTAGCGATGTAATCGCCGGTCCCACTACCCAAATCTGAAAAATCGAGTATCTTACGCGTGTCTGTAAGAAATATGGGTACCATAAAATGAGCTTTATTTCAAGTATTTTTCAGATTTAGAGCCCGATTTTGTGCTAGTCGCAAGCTCAAAAGTATCTCATCGCATGTATTAAATCAATGCAGCCGCACACCGCGACGCACACACGATATCTCTGTCTAATTCAGATTCCAACTTCCGATCACCGCTGTGCCTGTCTTCGGCCAGGCGAGCACCAGGGAGCTCCGGCGTGGGATACCTGCTCCGCCCGCTTGTGCTGTACATCAGCGCGGAAATGCACGGCGCGCGCGAGCGCTTCCTATTGACTTTGTACATGCGGCCGTAAACTGAAACGCTCGGCCGATAACTGGCTCCAAAACAGTGAAAATTGAAATGAATATTGTCATGGCAATTCTGGATTTTTTTCTGGGATTCTTTTTTTGTTTAAATAATAATAATATTTGCTTCATGATTTGAACAAGAAATGATAATAAATAGGAAGTAAAGAGTCCTAAAAATAGGATTTTGTCTTAAGTGGCCGAAAACGGGATCTTTACTCTAGTTGAGTTTGGTGGCCATCTCTACTCTGCCTCTGGCTCCGGCTCTGGCCGAAAGTGAAAGTGAATTCTAAAATAAAACTAAGATTTGTCGTAAAATTATTTCTCAGACTTGGTGAATTGAAATTCTGAAATATTGTGAACTAACAAGTAAGATATTTCATATTTAAGACAGTGTAGGGTAGCGCGCCCAGTATTCGGTCAATTCCCAGTATTCGGTCAGACAGCCGTTTCAACAGCTGTAACAATTTAAAAAATAATTTATGAGCCACGAAACTTGCACAAATTAGGCAGCTGAACAATTTTTCTTAACTCTCAAAATTAAATCAGATTTAGGGCCCCGGAATGATCTCCAACTTAGCTCGAAATTGGTCAGTGTCGCACAACTTTCCGCACTTCCGCGTTCTCTTAGCACATGCGCTAACATGCATAGCCATATGTAGAAGTCTATTGCGAAACAACTACTGTATAAGCTGTTATTTTCGCGAGGGTTTTATTTTCGCGAATTTTCGCGAATTGCAAATTATCGCAAAATTATCAACACGCGAAAATATTACCACCTCATCATTCCTGAGCGCGAAAATATCAGCGTAATATTATCCTCTCGATCGCCAGCGCCATTTGCCTAGCCACTGCCACTACTACGAACATGTACATGCCGCGCCCACACTCACTCAGCTTATTGTGTAGCAGCGGTTGCATTTGCACAGCTTGCAACACTCACTCGGTGATTCCACTTTCCGCGACAGCAAGTGGGGAAGTTATCATTTTTCAAACGTCTCTTACTCTTCTGTAACCGTTGTCAACTTGGTATTTTAATCACCATGCATTACGCTCGCACCCCTATCTTAAAATCGATCAGCCTTCTCCCTCTATTTGCCGGTACGGTAAGTACTCTACTGTATGGGTAGCCTCTTGTCGATGCCCTCGCGCTATTGGAGTCTCTAAATTCTGACGAGCGAAGCGAGTCAGAGAAACCGAGGCGCTCGCGCTGAGGGCCTCTTGACAAGTGATCTGGATTTCTAATGTTTTACTTTGTTTGGCGAATATTCCGACCCAGCAGAGTTCGGTGAAAGTCATCCAATCAGAGAGAGCTACTCATGTACTATGACGTAATATCTACCGCTCTGTGCGAATTCCCTCCGTGAGAGCGAGACTGGCCGCCTAGTTGTAGTCTGCAAGCACAAACCCTGGTCAGGCGTAACAGAGAGTGTGCACTATAAGACTACCATATGCCACGTACTATAGCTGTTCCTGACCTATATTGGTACAACCAGTAGGTACCAGTAGATAGCTGGGCTAGGCTTCTCTCAAGGCACAATGATTTTTTGATAAAGTGTCAAATTAGGGTCTGTGCTTGCAGACTAGCCTAGTTGGGCAATCCCGAACACACACGTACACACACACAATCGCTGCGGTCTAGACATGCATAATTCAGTAGGAAATCGGGTCTCATGAATATATAATTCAGATCACTTGTCAAGAGGCCCTCAGCGCGAGCGCCTCGGTTTCTCTGACTCGCTTCGCTCGTCAGAATTTAGAGACTCCAACAGCGCGAGGGCATCGACAAGAGGCTACTGTATGGGCTGCTTAAACTTGTGTGTGTACATGTACTTACGTGTACCGAGTCCGTGTGTGTATGTGTTGCATTTCACTGAAACAACTCACTGAATCTATGATTGTTTGGACCTACGGACTTCATCGTTTCAAAATAAATCTACCACCACAAGTAAACAACATCCACAAACACACACTCTCAGGCATAACACCCGTAACATGACACACAAAACAATTTCCACTGCCTGAACGCCCGCCGCACAAGTAAGCAACGTCACACAGTACTAGTACATGTGCTTTCAAAACTACGTCATCGCCACTAGCGGGAATTCCCTATAGTGGGGTTTCCCATATTGGCATTAACGAGCGCCCTATGTGCTGATGCAGTGCTTGTAGTGCGAGTGCGATGCGATGCGATGCTGTGCGATATGTTTTGTGTATGCATGTCGCACAAGCTAACTCTGGTCAGGGAGGTGTGTCTTCTCCGATAGCTTTGTGTATGGTATGTGTAGCATGGCGTGTAGGCATGGCGTAGTGAATTAATACGGAAGTACAGTACAGTACTTAGTACTGCAAAAGTGTCATTCGCGAAAGCAACGACCCGCGAAAATGTCTCTTAGCCTGTCATTCGCGAAAATATCTGTACGCGAAAATATCAGCTTATACAGTACATGTGCTGTCAGAATGAATTTAGTATGTGTGTGAAGAGAATCACTTCCGTGTTCGCTCAAAAGCAGCGAATTTGCAAATGACGCACTTGCCGATGTGCAAGAGGTATTTATACGATACCCTTGCCATGCGGTATCGCTCGGCCAGTATTCGGTCAACGCATTGACATTCAGTGCTTTATCGCGCAATTGTGTGAAAATAGTGCGCAAATACGCTACGCTCCCTCGCAACGGAGATACCACGCACAAATCGCGTGACCGAATTCTAATCGGCGCGACCGAATTCTGGGCAGAAAAATGCTCCGTCTTCTTTCGGAAGTATTTTGCTTATCATTATTCTATATTTTAAGTGACTATAAAATCCTGTCAGAGGAATAAATTTCTTTTCTTTTGATGGGTAGATTGCCAAATAAAAGAGGTAAGAATTCAAAATATTAGTGATTTCCCCTTAAGTGACCGAATACTGGGCACTCTACCCTAATTCATTTATTTCTTAGAATTTGTTATTGAAAAAAAAATCGAATAAAAGCAGATCAAGCAATTGTGAGATCAGAGTCCGTGTTCAAAAGTCTCTAGACTAAACGAACAAAACTTTCAGCCATTGGTCGTACCCGTCAAGGTTTATGATAAAAACAATGAAATTTACCTAGATCCTCTAATTTATGTTTAAATGAATAGGGGTCTAGATCTACAGGGCATCAAGCAAAAAAACAAGAATGAATTCACATAAAATGAATATTTTTGGATTTTATCATCATCATGATGGCTGCACCAGCTCCAATGAAAGTTTTTTTTAAGTCGACCAACTTGTCACTCTTTAATTTTTAATATTTAATAGTCTACAAAAAGTGTTAAACAATGATAGATTAGAATTCCATGATATACCTTGAATAGGCCTACCTTATACCTTGAATACCAAAGCTTCTGGAAGAAAGCCGTCTCCAGCTGATGAAAACTATGAAAACTATGTTTGCCATATTTTAGTTTTAATTGGATCTATTCAATACAAAACAATTTTGAGTAACTTTTCTTGGGTTCTCCAAAGTTCAAAACCCTGTCAAAATTGTATGAATGTGTAGGTGATGTCTATTGTTGTGATTAATTTTAAATGATTACGACTCATTACAAATTGTTATCAAATCAATTTATGTCTTCTTTTATTAGATGTCAACCGTGCGGTTCAGTTGCTGCAAAATCTACAGCAACGTGAGTATTTCCTTTCGATATCTAGCTTTTTAGTTGTATTGCTTGTCAGAGCTTAATGTAATCCATGGCCGTGGATGGTGGATGCCCTTTTGATTGGCCTCAATGCCCCTCTCATCGGCCTTGGAGATTTTGTGTGCCCTTTCCAATTCTTCCTATTTGTGCTGTAATATAGGAATGTGCCCTACAGAAAAAAGTGGCCTTGCCCTAAAAATATTAAAATTTAAGGCCTGGCTTGTACTGGATTGACTAATTGTGGAGGAAAGCAAAACAACTGCAAAGCTCTAATGTACGTGTTCTTTTTTATTTCATGATTATGGAAAGTACCAATAAAAACATGTTCATGTAGTAAGCTGTCATTTGAAGTTATTATTTAAGACATTGTGTTTTCTGTGAAAAGATTCTTAATGTATTCAATTTCATTTTCATCTGCATATTTGAGAACTTCACAGAAGACCAGATAATTTATCAATTTCCTAAATTTCTCACCTCTAGCCTTGATGAATTTTTCTCTTTTTTCTCTTTCTATGAACTTCCTTTATTTGATGGTCAAGTGAAGAATTACTTCAGAGAAACATGTTTTGATGAAAATTATTATCAAAGAATGCATACTTGAGTTAATTTAAATGTATGTGAGGTATTTGAAGAAAAGATAGATTGAAATGTCTGACTTGTCAAGTATACATGTAGGAGTCTAGAATATTATAGTAGGGGTAATATATCGTCCACCAAACCAATCAGTGCAATCTTTTATTGAATCATTTGATGAAATTTTAAATATTGTAAAAAAAGAAAATAAATTATTGTATTTAATGGGTGATTTTAATTTAAATTTATTAAAAGTTACATCTTGCAAGAGAGTCAATGAATTTCTTGATGTTTGTATGTTTAACAACATTTACCCTCTTATTCATACTCCAACACGTGTAACCAATCATTCTGCTTCCTTGTTAGATAATATTTTTACTAATGATCTACAAGAAATATTTGCAGGTGTTATCCTTGGTGATGTCAGTGATCACTTTCCAGTTTTTTCAATTTCAAATCTACAGTTACAAATTAAAAAGGAACATGCTTCATTTAAACATGATTTTAATAAAGAAAATTCACAGCTTTTTGTAAATGAAATAATGAATGTATGTTGGTTTGTTGAAAATCATGATGCTAATGAAGCCTATAATGATTTTTTGCAAAAGTATTTAAATATTTACGAGTCATGCTTTCCAATTAAAAAGTCAGTTAAAAAGAAATTCAAAAATAAACCATGGTTTAATAAACCACTACGTAAACTCTGTAATAAAAAATGTTACTTATACAGACGATATGTTAAAAAACCTATTCCAGAAAGACATGAAAAATACAAGAATTTCAGAAATAAGGTAACTGAAGAAATTAAAGAAACAAAGAGAGCATATTTTAAAGGTAAATTTCAAAATGCTGCAGGCGATATGAAAAACACATGGAAAATAATCAATGGAGTACTGGGTAGGGGTGTAAAGAAGAAGGTGCTACCAAGTTCAATTCAGTGCAATGATGCAATGATAAATGGGACAGCAGCAATGTGTAATGCTTTTAATAAATACTTTGTAAATATAGGCCATACACTGTCTTCTTCTTTTGTAAATTCTGGGGACTGTATGCAACATGTAATAAAAAATAATTCATCTGCATTTTTTACTCCGTGTACACCAAAAGAAGTTATTAATATTGTTTCTAAACTTAAAAATGGCAAGAGTTCTGGTTTTGATAGAGTGGATATCACATTGGTTAAAAATGTTATTCATATTTTATGTTACCCTTTATGTGATATTATCAATTTATCTTTAAATACTGGTGTTGTCCCAGACAAACTTAAAATTGCAAAGGTTATTCCTATTTATAAAAATGGATCAAATGATAATTTATCAAATTATAGGCCCATATCTATTCTTCCTATTTTTTCAAAGATTTTAGAGAAATGTGTATATAGTCGTGTATATAAATTCTTGGAAAAATGCAATATCATTACTCCCAAACAATTTGGTTTTCGAGCGGGACACTCTACTTCTTCTGCCATTACTGAGTTTATTCATAAAGTTACAAATGCCTTTGATAATAGAGAAATAATTATTGGCCTGTTTTTAGATCTTAGCAAGGCTTTTGATTCTCTTGATCACTCAATTTTATTAAAAAAATTGGAATGTTATGGTTTTAGAGGTATTGTACTGGAATGGTTCAAAAGTTATTTAAGTAATCGCAAACAATATGTTGTTCTAGAAAAATGTGAATCACAGACAATGGCGATAAGATGTGGAGTGCCCCAGGGCTCAATTCTTGGGCCATTATTATTTCTTTTATATGTAAATGATATTTGTAATGTTTCAAAAGTGCTAGAACTGATATTATTTGCAGATGACACTAGTGTGTTTATGTCCCATCAAGATATTGTATCTCTTCAAAATATGTTTAATACAGAATTTGCTAAACTGGTTGATTGGTTATATATAAATAAACTTGTAATCAATATTAAAAAAACACACTTCATGATTTTTACCAAAAAAAACATTGATGTTACCCAAATAAAGGTTAAAGTTAAGGAATCTGTTATTGAACATGTTACACATTTAACTTTTTTAGGAGTCACAATCGATGATAAATTAAATTGGAAGGAACACACTGGTGTCGTCTGCAATAAATTGGCTAAACATGTTGGTGTATTTTATAAATTGAAATTTTTACCTAAAGAAATATTGATGATTTTGTATAATACATTAATATTACCCCACTTAAATTATTGTATTCTTGTATGGGCATGCTCTAGTATGCAAAATACAAATAGGCTTTTAATTTTACAAAAGAAAATTATAAGAATTATATCGCACAGCCAATACCTTGCTCATACTATACCTCTTTTTTACAACCTGAATTGTTTAAAAGTAAACGATATTTATGTTTATCAATGTGCAATTTTTATGTATTTATGTTTAAAAAAACTTTTACCAAATACTATTTTACAATATTTTCAACTTAATAAGAATATTCATGGCCACCAGACCAGGATTTCAAATAATTTTAATATTCCAGGAGTAAGGACACTAGTTTCCCAAAATACAATTTTTTTCAGGGGTCCAAAAATTTGGAATGACATACCCATAGATATTCGACTGAGTCCATCACTAAATAGTTTTAAAAGAAAATTTAAACAGTACTTGTTAAAGCAATACTCAATAGTGCAATAACCTATATTCTTAATGTTCATCAGACAGAAAAGTGTGTATGGGAGAGAGTGTATGTGTGAATGCAAATTATTTCCTTTTTTTCTTCCTTTTTATAACAAATACAAAATTTAAATAATGTACTTAGTTTTTTACACAATTACTGGAGACAGACTTTTACATAAGGCCCGGCCTTCCTGTCTAGTCTCCAAATACTTTCATTAATGTACATGTTTAACATAATGTTTTTCCCTTGTACATCATGTCTTCTCTACTCGTGTTATCCTCATGTTATATATTGATACATGTATTATATTCTAACTTTTATATGTTTGTTTTCCTTTGTATATTTTTAATGAAAGTATTGAATAAAGTGAACTTGAACTTGAACTTGAGTCTGAAGTTAAATATACTGTCATATCATGAGGAGAGTCATGAAGTATGTACATGTATCAATGGAGTTCAGAAGTCTGTGACACTGGGGATGAAAAGCTTTTAAACCATCAAAGGAATTGCCGTATTGTCATGGGGTAGAGATGATATTATGATTAATAGCATTGTATTGTTGTAAATAAATTTTGGTTGCACCCACTTCTCAGTAGAGAGATAAAGATTGCGTGCTCAATCTTGCTTGTAATTGAAAAAATATTGGAACTAGCAGAATTTAAACCTAATGATAATTATTAGCATTGTATTTATCTTTTTCCCCACGGCTTCAGAGTCTGGCTTGCCTACACAGAAGCTGATTGCTTTACAGGCCATCTTAGAAAGCGATTTCTTCAACGCTGTGAGGGAGGTGTATGAACATGTCCATGAGACTGTAGACATACAAGGGGATCCTGAGGTCAGAGCTAATGCTACAGCCAAGGTAAGCATCATACTGTGTTCATACTTGTACTTGTGTAGATCATAAGCTGTGAGTATGAACATGTCCATGAGACTGTAGAAATACAAGGAGATCCTGAGGTCAGAGCTAATGCTACAGCCAAGGTAAGCATCATACTGTGTTCATACTTGTACTTGTTAAAAGGAGAATATAGTATGCCAAGGGGATCCGGAAGGAAGGGGCAAAGTTACGACCAAGGAATGAAAGATGTGGTGTTCATACTTATTCTTGTAATAAAGGTCATAAACTTGCCACGAAAATTATAATATATTTTTTGTCTAATATCTTCATGTTAGTTGTTTTCAAGGCGCACACCAACTTTGGGAATATATATTGTGTGTACCGGTGTATATAATATACACATTTGTAGATCTTTGGAAATATTAGCCCTGCAAAACATTAGCCCTGCAAATTTATATCCATAGCAAATTTGTAAATTTACTTAGCTGTTTTAATGGTTAAATTATCAATATTGATGTACATGTAAATGATAATTGATAATGAGGACAAGGGGAGTTGCTTTGGACCGAGGTCTCTATATGTATAATTGTATTGTGTTACTGTTAATACTGTGGACATGGACATACATTTAAATTAGAAAACAGTTGATCATTAAGACTGGAAATAGGGCTTCATTGGACATATCCCCATCCATTAGAAACAAGGTACTCCACCCACATAATTTTCTGTCCTACATGTATCTCTTGTACTTGCTATCTAGCCAACTCTCGCCCTCGCTCTCTCTCTCCCTCTCTCTCTCTCTCTCTCTCTCTCTCTCCCCCCTCTCTCTCTCTCTCTCTCTCTCTTCTCATTTACTCTTACTTAGTTTAATATAGAAGGTAAACATGCATGATTATAACTAGTTATATCCCTCAGTGATAAATGCCAAGGCTAATAATAATCCAATGTCAGTTCTATATGTTGAGCTGCATGAATAGCTGTAACATTGAGTCTCCTTTGACTATCGATGTGGCCCATGGAAATTGCCCTTCCTCACTTCATTTTCTTTGTCAGTTATATATTTATTCAGCTCAACACTAAACATTGTTTGGTAATGACAGATTCATTCTGCAAATCCAAGACAAAATATTGCTTTGGAAGAATTAACCTTTAATTGATTCGTATCAGAGTTTAACAGTGATTTAGATGGAGAACAATGTGGATTTGTGTAATAATCAATTCCATTATAAATTATTATTCAAGATTTCAAGGGGATGAATTACATTTCAATAGGGACTTTTAGATTTGCACGAAGACAATGTGGATTGCTACGGTCAACGTCTTTTTAATGCACTGCCTTGAATGGACGTCACACGTATCAGTCCACGCAAATCTAAAAGTCCCTAATGATAACATACTACATATAAAGCATTCATGTAGAGCTTAAACAGATACAAAAACACATTTATTTTAGAAAATGGTTCCTCTTGTGAAGCTAAGATTTAGATTTATCAGTTCAATTGTCCTGATTTTTAAAGGTCAAAGGTTGCAGCTTAACTGATATCAAGTAATTGTTAAACCTCTCTCTGAATCCTAGTGATTATGATAAGCACTGCATTGATATTGACTCCTAAAGCATTGTGTATTAAAGCAAAATCAGTCAATCAATTAAGATTCTGAATGATCTCACTAAATCATTACACGGAAGGAAAGCAAGTTTGAGGTTATTATATAGGGAGCTTCTTGGGTCATGTTATTCGAAAGAATGGTCTGGAAAATCTTGCACTGACTGGAAGAATAGAGGAGAGGAGATGTAGGGGTAGAAGGAGGATTCTGTGGATGAGTAGCTTAAGGAGTGGGATTTCTGAAAGTGGAATTGATCTCAGGGAGAATGAATTACTTCATAGAATATGGGACAGAGAGTTGTGGCATTCCATGGTCGCCAACGTCTCAGGACATGGCACGTAAAGAAGAAGAAGATATAGGATTGTTGATACATTTACATGAAATACAGTGAGTTTAGCTACGTGTATTTGAAATAAAGAGGTATAAAAAAAACTGTTCAATATGTGGATTAGAATTTTGCCAGTCGAATAAATTTGTCTTTGTTGCTGACCATTTCTGCATTTTAAGCATAATATAGGCACATGTAATGGATGCCTTACTGCAATAATTGGTTACATGATCACATTAAATACATTTAAGTTTTGTCAACAGAATTATTATGAACCCAATTGGTGTGTAATACATGTAGCAAGAATGTTGCAGTGTTAAATGTTTCTATGAAAGAAAGACAGAAAGGAAAAGGCCTGGGATGATAAATTAATTTGATATCCCCTGCTCTAATGTGTGTGTTTGTGGGTTTAAAGTGATTTAGTAACATTGCCTCAGATTCTGAAACAAAATCCTGGATTTAGCTCATGCTGCAATCATAATTACCTTCAGTCAGGAATCCCATGAATTTTACAAGCCAATCGCCGGTCTGATTATCAAGATATTTATGATTGAAAATGGAAATATAACGGTTTTTATAACACTACAGTCTATCAGGGAAATTGAGTAAGGTAAAACCGGTCACTCAAAGGATTTTACTTTTTGAGGCACTTTATGATCATTTTGAAGCGCAATTTTTGTAGGGCTTCAATATTACACCATATCACAGACACTGATAACACGTAGGGTCATGCATATCAAATTGAACATTGTTAAAGTAGATATTCATTGATTTTAAAAACTAACTTTATTTTCCTTATTGCAAAGTTGAAACTTTGATTCGACAAGGTTATCAAAATTCAATGCTTGGGAACATTTCAAGTAAAAAATTATTATAAATTACAAAACGCTTAAATACAGCCCCGGCATAGCACCTGAGAAGCTCTCCGAATGCTGCTGAGATATGTGAGATCACAGTATGGACATGATTTGCACAAGCAGACGATGTCCCATGACATCTCACACATTTTTAGTGCCTGTGTTTTCATCTTCTCTTAAGTTCTTTCTCTTAGTTCACTACCGTCAGGCTAAATGTATAATTTATTGCCTCACTCTAAACCCTGCGCATGGTTTTATTTTGATGACAAATGCAGCGATACAAAAATAAAGGAATCTGTCGCTTGTAAACAAAATAAGACGCCATTGTATATTCAGCTGCACCCACCGCGGTATGTTCGGCGGTTCAAGAGGGAACAAATGCCGTCCTTAATATCATTCCGGGCGGGTTTCAATTTGAAAGTCTGGTTTCTTTGATTGTTAATTAACCCCTATCCTGTGTATTTACAAGCAAAAGATTTTAGTTACCAGAATCGGGGCATATCCACTTTTGAATGGTTTGACATGCCATTACATTTATATACACTAAACTCATTATAATTTGACAAATAACAGCTTTGCAATTATGTTCATTCTGTATGGGATGTCGTCTGCTTGGGCAGTATTGGTCCATATAGTGACGTCATTAAAACATCGTTATTTTTCCGGCGAATCTCTCGCATATCCCAGCTGCTATGGAGGTGGTTGTATTTGTATTTTTATAAATCACCCGATATGTAGTTGACCTAAAACGTGTACGATGGCCATCTGTTAGCTTACCAGTTTCTAGTGATACATTAGTTGACACATTTGTGATTTTCTTTGAATTTCACCTTTAACCGATGCCTTTAATATCTTTTGCCTACAGTAAGTTGCAAGCTTGAAAAGGAATTCTGTTTCAGGCCAGGTGGCTTGTGGTAATTTGAGATCAAACTGGCCGGCTGACAGGAAATTGGTCATTTTGAAAGGAAATATTTAAATGCCCCGTCTCAACCAAATATTTCCTGAACTCTAAATTATCATTGTCTACAAAATGTTGTGGTCTAATTTTCAAGGATTTTCTTTTTAAATAAAGTTTTATCGGATCCTGGACGATATACAGGATGAGGTTATTATATTATTTATTGTTATTAACTCGGCCTATTATTAATATTTTAACTCTGAAATAATCAAGGACATGATGGGTTTCCCTTAAATTGTGTGACTTTCTCTTGCCATTGGTAACAGAGGCAACGATTATATTCTTGTTGACCGTTTCTTTTTTCAGCGAAGTATCATATTTCCAAAATAGAATGTGTATACCCGGTACATATTTCATATTGCATTGATAGTTGCCAATTAATGTGTACATGTAAATATATATATAGTTGTCAGGGAAAATCGTTAACGTAGTTAGACAAATTTGATGTTTAAGAGAAGATGTTAGATGATCAGGAAGGAAGGATAGATACAATATGGAAAGAGAAACTTAAGACAGGGCTCAGCACTAACAAGTGGCACCAAAAATTCAAGTCTGAACCCTCATGATGTTGACATTTTTAGAAAGGGCTCGTACATAGAGACTGTAAAAACTTTAAAAATCCCCCTCCAACCCCCTCCAAAAAAAAGTTGGTGTGGAGCCCAGCTGAAGAGAAAGGGGCTGAAGAAAAAAAAGAGGTAAAAATTTGCAGAGATTGCAGAGATCAATGCTGTAGAGAATAATATTGTTTCAAAACAATAGAATTTTTGTAGAGCCTATATACTTGCACTGTACACTCGGCACTTGACAAGCACAAGGTACGATAATACGCCAACGGCGGTCTGTACTATACTGGAAGAAGAAGAAGAAGAATAAAATACATGTTGTAATACGATAATATTAATATGATGTTCTAAGTTTATAACATTATGTTTTTAGTTTCAGAATTTCAACTAGGTCCCAATCAAAAACTTTAATCAGTTCTTCTTTCTTTGTTTGTTTTTTTTATTTTTTTATTCCAGGCTACCGTAGCAGCCTTTGCAGCTAGCTAATCAGTTCTTCTTTCTTTCTTTGTTTTGTATTCCAGGCTACCGTAGCAGCCTTTGCAGCTAGCTAATCAGTTCTTTTTTCTTTGCTTGTTTTGTATTGCAGGCTACAGTAGCAGCCGTTGCAGCTAAGTTAATCAGTCCTTCTTTCTTTCTTTGTTTTGTCTTCCAGGCTACCGTAGCAGCCTTTGCAGCTAGCGAGGGCCACGCCCACCCAAGGGTCGTTGAACTCCCTAAGACGGATGAAGGTTTAGGGTTCAATGTGATGGGAGGCAGAGAGCAGAACTCACCCATCTATATCTCAAGGATCATCCCTGGGGGTGTAGCCCATCGACACGGGGGCCTGAAGAGGGGTGACCAGCTACTCTCGGTCAATGGTGTGGTAAGGTCAAGTTTTATTTTCCACATTCCATTAAAAACATAAAATTAATACCATAAATATTATGAACAATAGCATACAGGGAATAATTTTATGATTAGCAATTTCAGCCGATGGATAAATATTTCAAATGAAATTCTGTACATTTCTATGGAAGAAAACTGCTACACAAAAGATATTTTGTATAGCAGTCATGCAAAAATGCATAGCAAATTGCGATGCGATCCAGACAAATTATCCCCTGAGCATATGAATATATAAGCAATACATTACAGTGAAACGTGAAAATGTGGAAAGGAACCGCATAGGCCATTGACCTTTCGAGGCAGAATCCTAACAAATATAACCATGGGATAATATGTACTACAACTTACAAGCACAGAATATTGCTTGACAAACCAACAAAGTAACTTCAAAGTTCATGAAGAAAGTGAGGGCAACATCTTTAATTTGCGGATTTAAATTAATTTTAGGAATCATTGTTCAACTAGAAAGCTGTTTTATGCATAATATACAAAACATGGGAGCTGTTTTTGTTAAAGAGGGGGGGGGGGGGGGGGAGGGGTGAATTGTGTGTGTAAGGGTAAAGAGAACATTTATCCAGCGCCCTGTTGCATACAACTTACCATTAATATTAACTTTGCCATCAGTGGCAACTACCATGGTAACAGGGCTCAACAGCCAATCAAAATCAAGGTTTCCATGTAATTACCATCAATGGGAAGTTTTGTGCAACGGGCCCAGAACAAGTTGCCCCCAAAAGCATTTGCATGTTTGTGAAATTAAAAAAAAATCACAGTGGTAATGATTTTTTATATTTTTGTTGTTGATGATATCCACTTTTCAATTAGTTAAAAGGACCAAAGTAAATAACTATTACCTGGAAGCCTTTCTGTTTTTAGAAACTAGATTTTTTTAAATATACAGACATTGAAGGGAGAGGGTCGTCAGTTTCCATGTGCAGTAGGTCATATATCAATGACACCAGACTGAGTGGAAATACCATTGATGGGTGTACAAGTCTGCACACTGCAAACCTGTAGTCCCATCAAGAAATACCACTTACTCTCTCGGAGAGTCTTTGGGTGAGGGAAATGTATGATAATAACTTCACCATATGGGGACTGGGTGGAAAAGGCAGAGCATTACATAAGGCCTGTTGGTTATAAAACTTAAGGCTAATCCTGGTGATTGACAACACCTGTTATTGGGGAAACCTGAATGCTGTCCAATTCCCCATGAGAGCCAACTACTATGCATCTGCAATATTTGACCACCAGATGGGCTTCTCATTGCTATGTCATAATAAATTATACAATTGACCTTGCTTTGACTGTCTTGTTTCAGTCTGTAGAGGGCGAGCAGCATGAGAAAGCCGTGGAGCTCCTGAAGTCCGCCTCAGAGAGAGTCAAGCTTGTTGTGAGATATACACCCAAGGTGCTTGAAGAAATGGAGACAAGATTTGATCGACAGAGGGCAGCACGTCGGCGACAGATGTCACCGGAATGAACACACTACCCCCTATTGACTTTCATGTAGTAAGTTCTCATATCAGTAGTAGAAAATCTACCTGTGATACCTAATTCTATCTCTAGAGCATATTGTGCCTTTTCAGCATTTATGAAATCTGTCATTGTATAATGTTTTAAACGTTCATTTTTGTCTCGCCTGCGTAGCAAAAAAGCGAGACATAGGCGCCGCTTTTCCGGTGACGGCGGCGGCGGCGGCGTCAACATCAAAAACTTAACCTAAGGTTAAGTTTTTGAATTTTTGATATAATTTTGAAAGTATAAGTTCTTAGTCAATGAAACTTTGATTATAGGGTAATCAAGTATCCCCAATCATGTGAGTAGAATTTCAGATCACAAAGTCAAGGTCAAAGGTCATTTCAGGTCAACAGACTTGGACTATGTTGTAGCATCATCATTGAAAACTTAACCTAAGGTTAAGTTTTTGAATTTTTGATATAATTTTGAAAGTATAAGTTCTTAGTCAATGAAACTTGGACTATAGGGTTATCAAGTCTCCCCAATCATTCAGGTCACTAAGTTAAGGTCAAAGGTCATTTAAGGTCAACAAATCTATGCTAATTTATGCAAATTTATTCGAAATCACAAAAAAGGCTTCTTCTCCTTCATTTCTAGACCGATTTTGATTAGGTTTGCTTTATATCGTAGAGCTAACTTTGGTACACTAAACATCTACACAGAATTTTGAAATTGTTCTCCATTAATTAATTATGGTAATTTATGCAAAATTTATTCCAAAAATAACAAAAATTGCTTCTTTTCCCTCATTTCTTGACCGATTTTGATTTGGTTTGCCTTATCTGGTAGAGCTAAATTTGGAACACTAAACTTCTACACGGAATTGTGAGATTTTGCTCCATTGATTATTTATGGTACTTTATGCAAATGAAATGAAATTATGTACCTTCCAGGGCATCAAATTTTTATTTTTTGACCAGTTCAAAAGTGTACCACATAAAATTTAGGATATTTGTTGTTGCGAGATGCGGATGAGAGCTACGCCATTGACGTTCTGGTTTATCATATTGAATTGCCTTATGCAGGCGAGACCGCCGAGAGCGTTTCCCTTGTTAAATGATGATATTAAATTTAATGCATTTTGTTTGTACTCTCTTGACTATCATTTATTATAAATGACAGATGCATATTATATCGATGGTGATATGTTGAGTTAGCCATGTATAAAAATGAGTTCATGTTTATGTTTTCTGATTGACATTCTAATCAAATATCTTCCTTTCTTCTTTGCTTCATCTCCCCTCCCCTCCTCTTCTCTCCTTTCATTATGTGGTTTTGTCTGTTTCTGTCTTCATCTTCCGCCCTTTCTCTCTGTTTCTGTTCTTGTTTCTTGTCCTCTCTTCTGTTCTCTGTATACTCACTTTCTCTTTCACTTTTTCTTCCATGCTCTCTTTCTCTCATAATACTCTCTCTCTCCATCCCTCCGTCTCCTCTTTCTCTCTCTCTCTCCCTCCATCCCTCCGTCTCCTCTTTCTCTCTTTCTCTCTCTCTCTCTCTCCCCATCCCTCCATCTTCTCTTTCTCTCTTTCTCTCTCTCTCTCTCTCTCTCTCTCCATCCCTCCGTCTCCTCTTTCTCTCTCTCTCCGTCTCCTCTTTCTCTCTCTCTCTCTCTCTTTATATCCCTCCCTCCCTCCGTCTCTTCTCTCTCTCATCCAGGTTGTATCGGAAGCAGAATTTCATGCAATGTTCCTTGCCTATAAACCAACAACTGGACTCAATATTCAGCGTGTGAAGCGACTATATACTGCTACAAGCTGCCATCTATGTATTATGTATTGAACCTGCATTTCCTAATGAGCTTGTATACATTGGGTGATGCTGGTTCAACAGGGGTCAAAGGTCATCATCTCTGTTAGGATGTCCATTTCCTGTGGAGTAACTCATCCTCTTATGTGTGCTTTGGTCCCTCCCCCACCCTTCCACTGACTAACCCATTGGAAACAACTTGCATTATATCCAATGGAAGTGCTTGTCAAGTGCTTAAAGTCAGTGTAAGTTTTTGGCTAAAATCTGGAATTGCTAACTACTTAAAGAGATGCTTCAATCTTACTTATCATATGTATTTATTCTTTTGAAATTAAACTTTTGAAATTAATCTAATCATCTAGATATGAATTAAATCATGTAATACTGAGCCTGATTATTATCCCATCCTGAATCTCGATGGAAATCGTGTGGTACAGTGAAACCCGTATATAAAGACCACTCAAGGGTGACAAGAAAAGTGATCTTTATAGGCAGGTGGTCTTTATGTACAGGTTCCTTTAGTACAAGTTTTTATGAGAAAAGGTCATCCAGGGAAACAAAAAATGTGGTCTTTATAGAACGGTGGGCTTTATATGCAGGTGGTCACTAAGGCAGGTTTCACTGTATATCAACTTGAAATTTATCCAAGACAAACAAGTACATTCGACTGCAGCTCAAAAAGCCTTATTTTCAAGTAGTTGCCAAATGTTTCCATGGTGGATTTCAAAGTGTGCATTTGCAATGGCTGTCTTGTCAGTAGTTGTTAGTTTTGCTAAAGATAGTTTTAGAGCACAAACGATGTACCAATATTCTCTTGTTTTTAATTGTATGCTAACATTACCTTTTTAAGAAGCAATTTGTATCATTCAATAACCATCTTAAATGTATTTTATAAGAATCTCAAAGTGTTGCTTCACATGCTACATGTTTGCTATTTATAACTAGTATATAACTCTATATTATACTGCCTTCATACTTATTAATTACCTGATAACAATTGTATACATCTGTCATCCTTATTGCTTGCATACTAAGCTTAGCTTCGCTGTCACCTTTTTCCTAAGGACGTTGGCTCCACAAACATATTAAAATCATTTTATCCTATCTTGAGCAATTCTATATGCCTTCTGGAAGGTGCTGCATACGGTGAACAAAAACAAATCTTATGTTGGGTTTCATTTTTCTGTCTTGGATTAAACAGAATAAACAGGAAGGACTTTAAAAGATACAGCTTCTAATGGAACAGCCCCAAGATATCGCTTGGGTTGTCAGTGTTTTGGATTTTAAAATCATCTTTCATTTTAGCATTTAAATTTGTCCCCTAATATCATACAGAATACGCATCAAATGAATTGTGTTGGATGAACTGAGAATTGCATTTGAAGTTCTGAAACATGTATCGAGTATTCATCTATACCTTTCAAGTAATATATAGAGAGAAAGAGATAATTGATCATATATAATTGGAAGATTTTCATACATTTTGTAACGGTGAAGAAAAATTGCCAATCATTTGTAAATATAGAAGAGTGTACTGCGATATGTATAACGGTAGCTTCATATTATTAATATTATTCTCAATGAACATAGAAAATGTAAATTTTTAGATATTCTGATTGTTTACTGTGTAATGGAATGAAGGCACTGTGCTAGGGGTAAGTAGATTGAAAGGATTGGAAGATTTTACTTCAGAAAAGTCAAATTTGCCAAAATTTGTAGGATAAGAAAATTCAGTTAGATATCGATTCATAGAGCTATTCATGTGGAGCTATGGTAAAATACATTTTTTTTTCTTCTTCAGTCATTCAATTTGAGGCATTCAATTCAAGGCTATTTAAAAATGAGTCGCAAAGTATGCATGTAAATATTATAGCACCAAATGTATACGGCTAACTAGTGATAATCATATCTGATTCCTAGGCACAATTTCACAATGCATTTCAGATTTTTAGATTTTTAGATTGGAAACAATTTGTGACAAATTTGCATAGCTTTCCTCTGTTAATGGAGTTCATAATATGTCAAATTATGTCAACTTAAGCTCTGCATCTTCAACATGAAGTGTTATTTCAACTAGAGTTGCATCATCTTGCATGCCTTGATAAAATATTGTATCGGCCAAGTTTGAAATGTTTATCAGAACATGCATTATGCTATTAACATTATACTATTAACATTATACTATTAACATTATACTATTAACATTATACTATTAACATTATGCCATTAACATTATGCTATTAACATTATACTATTAAATCGCGTTCAACTGTAGAGTTTAATACAGGTAGCCAGACTATCGTTGCTTACATGATACAGTCAAACCTGTCTATAGCGACCGCCTAAGGGAAACACAAAAAGGGGTCTTTGTAGACAGGTGGTTATGGAAGCAGGTTTGACTGTATAATGGAAATTTGCGGTGACTTTACATTCCCTGTTCCTGCTAAGATACTAACAGTTTTAAATGAACAACTTACTTCATGTAGAATTTTAAACAGAGGTATATTCCTTTATCAAGATTAACAAAAGTTTACTGCAGGTGATCTAAGGTTGAAGCATGATGTACTGAATTTTAAGATGTTAGAATAGAGACTCTTGAATTATATAGGTGTCAATATCAAGTATCAATCACAACTTTGATTGATATCATCTTGCAATTAATTGCAGGTTTCCGTTTTACTAATAATTGTAATATCAATATCAACTCTTTGTAAGACGGGGCCCAGACCCCAGTAATGTAGACCAAGAACCAAGACCATTCACGTGGGAAAAAGGCCTGGACCCTTGTAAATTACATTTAGATTGTTTGAAATTGGTTGTTTAAATCTCAATTGTAAAATGCCGACATGCTTTCATAGCAGGTTCCTTGCAAATCTTTTTGATAACTGGTTTGATTTGCTCTGGTCTGCTTTTAGACATGCTTTGAGTTTATCAAGTTTACTATACCCAGACCAGGAACACATCATATAGGCTTCTGACTGGCTTCTCCTAGCTTCTTTGAATATGTACCATACTTAAATTTATAGTGGCACTGTCTACTCAAGATTTTATTGAAATGATTTGTTTGTAACATCTTTTGAGAAAAATGAAACAATTTAATTCATTGTCCAATATATACTTCACTGCCTCCATCCAAATGATTTTATTCACCTGTTACAAATAATTGTTTTTCAATAGTCAGAATGTAAATTGAAAATATCACAAGGTGTTAAGTAGGGCATGCCATGATGTTTGCACCCTACCTAGCAACAACTAATGTATCCAATTTGAAATCGGAATATTGAGATACATTTATTCTTAAAGAGTGAATAAAATAATTAGTATCGAGGCACTTCACATAGGCATATGCGTACATTTTGTTACGATATGAAATTGGCCTATTCTCACCATACTTACTATTGTAGCTTGTTACCACATTATTTTAGCTTCAGTTTATGTGCATGTTGTTTGAAATTGTAGTGTTTATAAGATTATGTATAAGATTCTTGAAACCATGTATAAATATTCCTGATTGACCAAGTAATAAAGTATTAATATCATGTACAAAATATGAATTTGTATTTTTAGCAGTTAATTTTGTCTTTTCAATTTAAATGCATTGCCACAGTGTTTGCTAAACCATTATCTTAATCAACATAATCATTAACAAGCAGTTGCAAAGCATGGGTCCAAGATTTGAAGGGGGGGGGGGGGTCATTGAATGAACTGAATTTAATAACAAGGCTCAAATTAGGGGGGTAATATAGGAGGGAGTCTTGTTTTTCTTCTTTAAAAAAACAACAACATTGATTTGGAAGCATGTTCCTCCTCCTGTAGCCACGTCATTGATCACCATGGCAAATGAATCATTGACACCACCTTGTTTAATCTGCATTTATGGCATATCTGAATGAGTCTAGAGAAAGTAGGTCTACTTTTCCGCATCATCCCTTCCAATAATAACTGATCCACCCCTGATCGACGTCATTCTAGTCTTTCTAACTGTTGCCAATTTCCTTCATTTTGTATTAAAATCAGCATGATATTCATTTTCTACTTTAAAGATTTTTATTTTTATAGTCTCCTCTTAATACATCTTCTTATTAATTATCTTATCCTCCCATTCTTCTTCTTCCTCTTCTTCTTATTCTTCTTCTTAAATCATTCTCTTCATCTTCTTCATCTTCTTTCTCTTCTTCTTCTAATTCTTTTTCTTCTTCTTCTCCTTAACTTTTAATTTAATTTTACTCTCTTGAAAAACAACCCTCTCTCCTGGAAACATCATTTTTTACAACAAAATTGAGAAAATAGTGTCGAGTTATATCTTAATCATAATTCAACACCCCCCCCCCCCCCAAAAAAAAAAAAGAAGGGGGGAGGGAGCTGAGGGAGAGCGAAAGAAACTGGCCAGAATCAAACGAGATCAGAGCCATCTACGACAATATCACGCACAGTCTATCAGTAGCTGACGACGTTCTTCGACACAGCACAGCCTCTTCTTTCCGTCGGCAACTTTCTTTAAAAGGATTGTAATTCCGAAGTAAGTATGTATTTCAGAAAAAAATGAAATCATGAGATGTTGTTGATGATGGCTATTGATACTTTGAAGCTTTATATTTATTTTGAGTTAGATTAATACTCTCATAATTGTGCCGAAACACCCATCCGATGACCCGGTTTTCTCTATGGTTGGAACGACCACGAGCTGTGAACCCAGGGTTGCGGGGGCACTCGTTTTCACGCTTCTGTTAGTTGTAGTCTAACTCTATGCTCGAATAAAGTCAGGGGTAGCTGAATGTCGATTCTTCGTCGGTCATTACAATATAGCCGGCTGGCCGAGAATGTTACACTAGTTTGCTTTTCTTTGTACAATGACTTTGCAAATCTGCCAGTAGCTTAGTGCTCCCTCCCATACTCATTTACCTATGCAGATATCATTCTATTTGTGATTGAACTTAGACTAGATTCTAGAGTCAATAATTCTTGAGTGCCCCTGTTGACATTGATTGAACTGAGCAAACATGACCCTCTTCCCGATTTGCGATGATTATGATGTGAGGTGGACCGTGCAGTTATTGTAGATAAATCGGTCATGCCAGTACACTGAAGTGTCGGTGAAAGGTGAGGCTATACAAATAGTAGTATTCCCTGTCCTTTAACCTACATGTACATGTGTAGTCTTTGACTTTGAGAATAATGTATTAAGTTACTGCTTCCTGAGGAAAAGTGTTTATAATATGGAGTAGGCCTACTGTACCGGTCCCTAATTTCTATTTCTATTCTGCTACTTGCCAAGGCCTGTTCAGCATCTAGACCTACACCCCTGTAGCCTATACATTAAAAGGAGAATATAGTCTATTTTTAGTCCAAAGGCAAAGGAAATTGTAAGAGTTGTCACTAGGGATCTGGAAAGCTTATTGATTACTTCACAACCTTTTACCCATATTTTTGTCTGATATTTTTTTGGTTCCCACACTTCACCTGTTTCTCTGATTTTCTAGTTTTATTTGCTTTAAAGGCACAGTGTCCTACTTGTAGTTACTTGCTCCCTCTATAGTGAAAACTTCCAAAATCGGTGCCTGTTGGTCCCCCATGATCCTCTTTTTCTTATGTTAAATGAGAGCTGAGTTAATGAGATAGCCACCTGTCACAGTGACCTTGATGGCTCGCTGTGTGGTCTAATCCCTTCTGGCTAAAGTAGTAAAGCCTACCTTTAAAACATTCTTTGTGTGAACAGTATTTGCTTAAACTTTAAAGTAAATAAATATCCAGTCTAGTTGGAATTAATTTTAACAAATGACATATTAAATGAACAAATAATAAGTAATTAAAAACACTTATTCCTTTATTTATTTTATATTTCATGTCATTCTCTTTTCAGTATCAACCATGGCTCTCCCAAGCACATTCAGGAAGATGATGGTCACCAAACTGTCAACTAATTTCAGAGAAGCTGTCAAGATCAGTTCTGTTCCGATGATACAGCCAGCTGCTGATGAAGTGCTTGTGAAAACAAGGTCAGTTCATTTTCTTCTATTTCTTCAGGTTTAATACATCTGTCTCCTTCAGGCTCGAAGATTCTTGCAGATAGTTGACTCGGTGTGTGTAGGTGACTGAGTTCAAGTGCAGCATGCATAATATTCATAAGGTGCAAGTAAAAAAAGTTGTCCATTTTAGCTCAGTCTTTGATGAGAATTTCTAAAGACCAAGTCATTCCTCTTCAATTCTGCAGCTCTTCTATTTATTTTTTAGTTTTTTTGGTTACCGTACTATTTTTGTTTGTACAGACAATAAATTTAGATAATAAATAGTATGGACAAAAATCATAGTTTATTTTGAAGATTTGAATACAAATTGTAATAAAACTGTGATACAGAATCTTCATACTTTGATAAGTAAAATTGTTGATACTTATTTCTAGTCTATTCAGCAGACCCTTGTTTACAGTTTCAGATTCAGACTTTATTGATTTTAATCCAAACAGATAGGATCATTCTCAATTTGTGTATACATTGGATAGCAAATTTCAAAGTTATTGTGTAACATAGATAATTGAGTGTAAGAGTAAAGATAACAATAACCAGGAATGACACAAATTAACATACTACTGCATGTCTCACTGGGGGGGGGGGGGGTCTATGTTTAGCCGTAGATCCTTGGTAGTATTTGGGATCTTAGTAGTTGATTAACTTGCCTGTCTTTATAGCTTACAAGTATGTAAGTGCTTGCTAATGTTATGTAGCACTTTGCATCACTGTTTGTAGTATCTATTCGGAGTCTGCCATAAGGCTGTTAACTCATATTTTAACACCCAGTTAAGCGTTGGTCACATCCCACCGTGCGTGTTTTTAGTCCGTACGGTTTTTGGGGAGGCCACGGTCGCCACGTTTTTCTGAAAACGTAGGGAGGGAGTGGCAAAGGCAGGGAGGGAGTACCGGCAACGCGCGTCACACGTACTGGGGTGAATCGGTAGCCCGAACGCAGCCCGAACGCAGCGAAAGTTCCTCATGCACTAAAAGTGCTACGGTGTGTCTGCGTGCTCCCAAATCCGTACGGAGGCGGTACTCATCACGTACGGATACCCAAATTTTGCCCACGTTTTTGCACGTAGACAGCACGCACTTGCAAGTACGGCGGGATGTGACCACCGCATTAACACCGTTCTTGTTCTCAGCAATTATACATGTGCATGTAATACTCAGCTCCTTTCTATATTGCTTTCTTATCATTCCTATTATTTTTTTTTAGATATGTAGGAATCAATGCATCTGAGATCAATGCATCATCAGGAAGGTATGCAAACACAGGTGAACCACCATTTGGAGCTGGCATGGAGGTGAGTTACAATGGGTGTAAAGGCCCTTGTGTTTGGTGTTTTCTTCATGGTTAGCGTTAAAACCTTCTATATTTGTATTTTTGTGAAAGGATTATACATTCTTTTATGTTGTAAAGATACCAACATACTTTTCTAGACTCACACTTCGTATTTTTCAGTTTCTGCTTAAAGGTAAAGACCAGTATTGGAAACGCCCCAATTTCAAAAAATGAAATGGAAGCTCTTATTACCAATCATGTGAAAGAATATGTTTTGACTAAAACATGATGATAACAATTTTGCTGGGAAACTGCCTACTAATTGATATATTTGGTTAATTAGTTTATCTATTGGTGTGTGTGAGAGATAAACGCATGTGTCGTGCATGTGCGCATAGTCCCATATACATAAATTCTGTGTACAGTGATTGTAACTTTACGAAGACTGTGCCAAATTTCTTATCATTTTGATGATTCCAGAACCTTGCAGTACACACCAATACTTATATGCTAGATGATCAACCTTTTCTGATCGATTCCGCAACGTTTCTTTCACAATGTAATCGCATGACCATAACTGGTCTTTATCTTTAATACAATTCAGCATAGCTGATGTTAGCGTAAAATGTTGTTAGCATTATCAGGTGTTTTTCATTCATTTATTCATAGTGAGTCCAGACATTGTGCATAAATGCCAAGTAGTTAGATGCTTGGAGTAGTACAATTTAAAGTTGAGAAACTCCTCAGCTTTTCTATTGACCTTTCATGAACAATTATAAAAATGTCATTAATCTGTCACGTTTTATTCTGCTATTAGAGTGTTGGAGAGATCGTCAGTGTTGGAAGTAAAGTGAAGAATCTCAAGGTTGGACAGGCGATAGCCAGCATGACATGGGGAGCATTCGCTGAGTACAATGTAAGTGTGTAAAAAAAAATTCAAAATTTGTGTTTAAAATATTGTCTTATTGGAAATATTGATAGAAATAAGTGTTTAAAAGAAGAAAAAAAAGTTATTATATGAGAGGTTAACATTCTGACACGCTTGTGAAAGTGATTGATTGTTCATTGATTCAATTAAAATTTAAGGAAACTTGATGTAGATTTTCATTCATGAAGTAATGGATTGAAAGTAGAAAAAAAACATATATGTGTTTTAATTATATAGCTGTCAATGCTAAGTTTTGATAATTTTTTTCTTCATCTTGTGGCATGATTTTTATTTTCTGAAAAGGCCGTGCCAGCTAAGATGGCAATCCCTCTACCGGCAGCTAAAGCAGAGTTTGTTACTCTCATGGTCAGTGGGATGACAGCTGATCTGAGCCTGGCTGAGGTGAGTTCAGAAGATATATGATGAGGATGATGACAAGGATGATGAGGATAGGGATGATGAGGATGATGATGATGATGATGAGGAGGAGGAGGAGGAGGATGAGGATGAGGATGATGAGGGTGATGATGAGGATGGGGATGATGATGATGATGATGGGATGATGATGAGGATGATGAGGATGGTGATAGTAATGAATAGGTGGATAATATGGAATGGCAGCAATGGTCGGGCTGGGTTGGTAATAGCAATGACTTGGTGGTAGTGGTGGTGGTGGTGATGATGATGATGATGATGATGATGGTGATGGAGGTGATGATGATGATGATGGTGGTGGTGGTGGTGATGATGATGATGGTTATGATGATGTTGATGATGATGATGTTGGTGATGATGATGATGATGATAACGTAGTCATTTGGTAGAAGAAATGATTTTAAAAAATGCTAGATATTATGAATGATGTCTACTTGCATACTGGTAATTTTGTAATATATGAATAGCACTGTGATGTTTAAAAAAGGTTACAGTAATGTCATTATTTTTTTGCTTTATTTTCTACACAGCTTGGTGAAATGAAAGCTGGCGAAAATGTTTTAATCACAGGTGAGTTAAGGACACTTTTAAATTTATTCTGATGGAACATCTTTTGTCACAGCCAATTAAAAGTTGAATTATGCATCTAAAGATATTGAAAGTCTGACACACTTTGATTATGACACTTCAAGTGCATTGTATTATCAGCATTACATTCACTATTATCTAAAATATTTCCTTGTGTGACCTTGTTTTTTTCCCCTTTCCTTGTTTGCTATAGCTGCTGCTGGAGGAACAGGTCAATTCGCAGTAAGTAATTCAAACTATACATATCCATAGAGTTTAACTCTATTGAATCATACAAATCCTTTGGTGATTATATAGC